AAAAAACAAAAAGCAGATTTCACTTCCTGCATGTGCTTAAGTGAGATCATTACAAATACTTCAAAGAACAACACAGCATATGGTGACACAAATTCACACCTTACAAAATGACTGCTGGTTTTTACACAACGTATGAGAGAGTTTATTATTGTCGTTTTCATAAATATTATTATTTGTTTCTTCCCCTTCTTGGTCTCACTGTCGAAGATTCTACACTTACAGCACAATTTAGCACAAACGTTTTCTATTCTGATGCTTACCATGAACTTCAGGAGGTCAACTGGACCTCATGTGCATGTCTAAATGCTCCGAGTTGCTGCCACGTGATTGGCTGATTAGATATTTGCGTTCATGTGCAGTTGAAAAGGCATGTTTTGTTCTTTTTATATGAGGAGTAAGTGTATACTCATACTCTCTTTTAATAACATGCTATATGTTAAAATATGAAATCTCCAAATTATTTGGTTCTACATGAAAAAACCCCATTATTTTTAAATTACTGAACTATTGTTCCCAGGTCATTCTTGATGCAGTGGCAAAAACATTTATTTTTACATCTAGAAGACTCGTCGTGTCTTTATTCTTTAAAAAAAAAAAAAAATTAATTTAATTTTACGAGATGAAGTCGCTTGTTGCTGCTTTTCCTGAAATGTCCTTCCCCAGATAAAGAGTTGTTTTGTTTCTTTTTTTTTCAGATATACTTCTTTAAAAAATCTATAATACTAATCTGTATAAACAACAGTAATTAGAAAGCTTAACTTGATCAACTTTCCCTGAATATTCTAACTGTTTATGAAATCCACCTCCACTAATGGTCGTCTATATGACATCATGCTGCTGTTTTATGAATGTGAACAACTACCTCCATCTCAAAGAACTTTTGATCTTCTTTCTTTTCATCACTGTGTACAGAATTTCTCATTGCAATAACAATAAGAAACAAACAAACATGTTAATAACAAAACTTCTTCTCAAAAGGAATAATGTACTTCTCCAGTGTGACAATCCACTTGATGACCTTCTTTGACATAAGTTCAATATCTGCAGTATCATTTATTGTCTTCATAAAGCTATAATACAAAATGAGGATAAGAGATGATTGGATGCCTGACTCCAATCAGCTCCATTGGCAAACAATGACAAATACAAGGAACCACAACATAATACAACAAACAAAAGAACAATATCAGGCTAAACATCAGAGAGCAATGTGGAAGTAGAGAGAATTACAATTCACACATGCAGCTATTTCAGATCTTCTTTTGTACAAAGATATACTCGGAAATTGTTGTATGCTATTTTTGATGTGCTTCTATGAAATTGCAAGGTCATAAAAAAGAAGAAGAAGAAAGTTACACATTGAAATAAACAGCAGGTTCAGTTTAACAGACCAGCAAGTTTAGTTCCGCTTGAGGAAGGAAGGGCATTAAAAAGTGAGATACTCGAGATTCTGTAAAGCAGCCAGCACAGCTAACAGGTTAATTTTATAAGTAGGCAGCATTTACATTTAGAATTTGATAATTAGAGTCGAAGGTAATTAATATACTGTAAATTGGCAGTGCTAACACACATTAAAGGCATTGAAGAAGTAATGAGTACATTTAAAATCTAACAGTCAGGGGAAGAAATTACTATTAGTTCAAAGGTGTACAAACACATTTCGAAGGTGCCACACAGGTGAAGAACACTGTGGTATTTGTCAGATAGAAGTGACCAAATGAATGAAAAAAGTATGAGACACGGTCTGCAGTAATAACAGGGTGTAAAAATACTTACAACTGCCCTCCACCTCCTACAGTTTAAAGGAGGAGGTGATTTCAGAGCCCCCGGACATAACTGAGCTCCTCCTGAATGAGCTGTCTGTCAGATCTCTGCTGTAACCAGGCATCAACTTTTTCAGCAGCTGCAAGGCTCGTCTCATAAACTTCTCTCCCACAAAAGCATAAATGATGGGATTCAGACAGCAGTGAGTGTAAGCTAAGGCCTCGGTCACTGTTATTGACAGCTTTACATTTTTGTACCAGGTTTCATCATTGAGGATTATTTCTCTTTCCTGAAGAAACTCCAGGAAAAGGGAAATGTTATATGGAGCCCAGAGGAAGAAGAATACAACCACTATACAGATGATCAGCTTGACGATGCGGTGCTTCTTTGCAGTCCTCATGTTTACCAGCCTGGGGATGATCCTGGAGTAGCAACCTACCATCACCAGCACGGGAATCACAAGACCCAGCACATTTGTGGTGAACAGGTTGTAACGCTCCCAGACTTTGCTCTCCTCAGGATAGTCACATCCAAACTCCTGGTACTCCTCTGTTTCCTCTATGAAGATAAAATCCGGCAGAGAGACAAACAAGCTCAGCATCCAAACGAGCACGGTCAGAATGATGGCTGCCTTCTTTGTGCGATAACGTGCAACCCTGTGAGCGTGCACGATGATCATGTAGCGGTCCAGCGTCATGACAACCATGAAGAAGATGCTGCTGAAGAAGCCAATGTGGTGAGACCCGGAGATCAAACGGCACATGAAGTCTCCAAAAGTCCACTGGCCAACCCTGGTATTGTGAGAGAAGAAAGGCAGCATGAAGATGAAGAGGAGGTCAGAGAGAGCCAGGTTGAAGAGGCAGATGTCTGTCAGGTTGCTCTGATTGCGATGCTTCACCAGGACACACACCACTAGTCCGTTACCTTTGGAAGAAAAGATGCAATAAGTGTAAATGTCACACTGTTACATATTCTTTCTGTCTCTTTCTCTCTGTCGGTCTCATGTTGCTGTGTTGCACATAAACACACCTGCATACAGAGTTTAGGCCTAAAACGTGCTTTCTGTTCCCATAAGGGACAACAGGTCCCTGCAATGTGTAAATACAATACAATCCCCACACAAGAAGACACACCTACCTATGAAGCCCAGGATGAAAACCAAACTGTAGAGAGTGGCAAGAAACGCTTGGCTGAATTCCCGTACATCGGTGGCTGGAGCATAGTCTCCGTAATCAAAATCACTGTAATTGCCGTAATTGTCTTCTGTGTCATTATATTCTGCTGAGAGAGAGAGAGAGTAGGTATTTATTATTTATTTATTTTATTCTTTTATTTCTCATCACAAGCAGTGAAAATTAATAGCTACAGTGTATTAGTGTAGACACATGGTCATGGTAGAGGTGAGTACAGTTTTAGACTAAAACAAAAGGTTAGTTTGTCTCCCCAGAAATTAAAAGAGCTGGAGTTTACAATATTCGTGTCCATGTTTATTGTTTAATTCCGTCACCCACTAAAACACCTTAAATGCGATTAATCAAGATTAATTAACTACAAAACCTCTAATTCATTAAAATATATGTATATATATCATGTCCCACCCCTAATAAATTGTGATACAATTTTAAATTACAGCATTTGAATTTCTACTATGTACAGCCTTAACAGATTTAACACATTATAAACATGTATTTTCAAGAACTCTGAAAAATGCTAAACTTTAAATATATAACATTTTTGTATTACTTTTAAAAGATATTTACCTGCCATGGTGATATCTCAGTGATGTCTCAGGTGAGGTCAGGAATTACACTTCAACGCTTCTTGTTTTTCGTGTTTTATTGATGTGATCTCTTTAGGTGTGCAGGGATTAACTAACAGTCTTAAAGTCAGCAGTCTGATAACGAGGAGCACAAAAAAAGAAATATAGATTTCACTTCCTGCATGTGCTTAAGTGAGATCATGACAAATACTTCAAAGAACAACACAGCATATGGTAACATAAATTCTCACCTTTACAAAATGACTGCTGGTTTTTACATAACATATGAGAGAGTTTATTATTGTCATTTTCGCTACTATTATTATTTGTTTCTTCCTCTTCTTGGTCTCACTGTTGTACATCAGTGCACATCATCGATTCTACACTCATGAGACACTTTAGTAGTATGTCTTGCACGTATTGGTTTGGACCAACTTTTGTCTTCAGAACTACTCTAATTCCACACAGCATTGATTAAACAAGCTGCTAAAAACATTCCTTTGAGATACTGGTTCATGTTGATGTGATAGTATCACACGGCTGCCGTAAATTTGTTGGCTGCACATTCAGAACCTCCTACCACATCCCAAAGCTCTTCAGTTGGATTAAGACTGTGGTGACTGTGGAGCCCATTTGAGCACAGCGAACTTATTGTCAGATTAAAAAAAGAGTTTCAGATGTTTGGACTCTGTGACATGGTGTGTTATCCTGCTGGAAGCAACCATCAGAAGATCGGAACACTGTGATCATGAAGAGATGCACAGGGAGATGCACCATTCTGCCAAATTCTGACTCTACCATTCAATTTTAGGAGCAGAAATTGAGATTAATATGAACTGATGACATTTTCCAATCTTCAGTTGTCCGAATTATGTGGTGCAAACTGCATCCTCATTTTCTTGTTCTTATCTGAGGAGTGGCATCCAGTGGTCTTAAGCTGGTGTAGCTTATCTACTCAAAGCATGTTTTAATTACATTCTTTCTATATATTTTGGTGTAACAAGTTATTATTTTAGTTACTGTTGCAATCATTTTAGCTGAAAGATGACTGACCATTTTCATCCAGATCACAAAATATTGTATTTAGTGATTTTCTGTAAAACTGTGTCATGGTCCTGAGTCTGATGACTCAGTGTTTTGTGTTTGTTAATATTATCTTATGTTCTTATTTATTCTGGTTATGTCTTCTGTTTGGATTTGCTAGTTTTTAGGTTTTGGTTTTGTATTCCCTCTGTTCCTGTTCAGTCAGTTCTGAGTCTGTGTCTCTGCATGTGTGTTGAGTTTCCTGTTTTACTTTGAAGGTCTGTGTCTTATGTCAGTGTATTCAGTTTTGTGTGCTCCTCCGTCTTTTCTATGTAATCAGTGTCAGCCGTGTCTCCCAGCTGTTTCCTCTTTGTCCTGTTCACCTCTTGTATATAGTATCTGTGTTTTCCCTTGCTCGTCGAACTGTCGTCCATCATTCTACACTGTGTGTCCCCTCTGCCAGCTTGCCTACCTGTTTAGTTTTTTGTATTCTCAGTTTAGCTACTTTTCTGTTTTGTCTGAAATCCAGCAATAAAGCTGAGTGTTTTTGAGTTTACATTTCCCTCCATAAGTCCTGTTTGGCACTGTAGCAATCAGAATTATTGTCTGAAGGCAGATCATTATGGCTTTGCCATGGTCCAATTCATTGATCTTTATTATTATTCTTTCTTTATTTATATGGTCAATATCAGCCAGAATATATCAGATTTTATTATTTTAAAAGTAAAGGAAAAAAATACAGTTTGCAATAAAATTAGAACATTGTAATAAAAGGTCACTTACGACCAACAATGTACCTTTAATGGTGCAACCTGCCTGCAATGTCACAATCACCTCATAACTCGCTCTCACCAAAAGAAAACAGGTGCCCCTTTTTAAAAAACCAAATCCACCCCAGATAAATACAACCCCACAGGGGCATTGGTACCGCTGTAATCAAGTTATCTGACAGCACTGAGCAGCTCCTTCAGTGGCAGGCTGCGGCACCCATGATATGGAACAGAGAGATTTCGCAGGTCTTTCCTTCCAGCTGCTGTCTACGGAGCCCCCCAGGGGACATGGGAGAAAAAAAAATTAGGGAGGAAAAAAAAAAAATTAGGGAGGAAAAAAAAAA